TGATATCAGTCTGATAAATCACCACTAGATGGCAGGAGTGGTTTTGATCAGCTCTTGGTCCACACATGGTGTGAGTGGGTGTGTGTTATATAGTACGCGGTCCCACGTGGCGAGGTGGCGTGCGAAAGCAGTGTGGTGGTGAGAACTTGGATAAAGGTGAACGTTCATGAAAAGTTCATGCACATTTCATGCATTAGTCCAGTGTTTTTTTCTTGAATAAATTGTTAATTTGCAATCAAAGTGCCCTTTTTGCGTGATGTTATTTAGTAGGAAAGGATTTTTTAGATATCTGAGGTATCACAAAATGCAATATATATATAGCATCAGCACTTTTTTCCTGATGAAAGAAGAGGGTTAAAGATCTCTTTTGGTAGGTTCCATGCTTACTTAGCTACAGAACTATATTTTTCTGTAGGCCTTCAACAATGAGTCAAAATGACTCTCCCAATTTGAGAAAAAATGGCTGACATTAAATGAATGCACAGAGTAGAATCTCAAGTTGAAAAAAAAAAGTACGAAATGAAAATTAAGTATGAAAAGAAAACGGCAACATAAAGCTTGAAGCAGTCTGTGCAAAATTGATCAATGGTGTGAACACGATGCTGGCTAAAGTTAGGCCATAAATAGTGATAACTGTGATTTCAGTCACGCGAACCTCACTTTGAAGGTAAGTTTGCCCTTCGAGTCTTCACTGAATGTTATCCACATTACAACTGAAATATATGGTTATTTCTTTTCAAAATATAATTGAATTGTTTTTTTCCCCCCCAAATAACCCTGTGGATGCTAATGTTCAATTTCATTAGCATTATCGACATCATACAAAGATTTTAATTGATGTGCATTCATGAGAGGACTGGCGACCAGTCCGTGTTCCGGAATGAACAGCCCCTCGAGCCCAAAGTCGGCCGGGATACACTCCAGCTCACCTGCAACCCGACCGAGCACACGAGGGAAAGAAAATGGACGAATAGATAGAAGAAAACATTCTGCTTAATTTTCAAGTTGTTTTCTTGCATTCAGTCAAGGGCACGCCAGATTATATACAGCAATACAAAAGGACTCTTCGAAATGTCTTTTGTGATTAGAAGTGTTGACATGAAATTAATCTCACCTCTCGTGTTAGCACTTGGGGGATGGGGGGTGGGTGGGGGAGAAAGGGCATCGCTTCCTCCATTGTGGCTGCTGAGCAAACACGCTTGAATAGATGTGACTCGTGCTCGCAATCAAAAGGCAAAACAGCCAGGTTTGAAAATGCCAACAGAATGTGCCGGAGACAGGAAAGCAGTATTTCTTCAGCTGTATTATGTTGGGTGGATTTCGCTTCTATCGGGAAAAGAAAAAAAAAAAAAAAAATCTTTTAAACAGCAACTTCACTGACAGGTCCAATTTGCAATGCCTCCACGTTATTATCGCAACAAAGTCTGAACCGTCTTAACTTTAAAAGCGGTTTATTCTCAAGAGAATGCCTTTTTATAAACAAAGGCGGACAAATTGGATCACCATTAATGTAGGTATGCTCTCTTTTTCGAGCCAAGTTTTGGGACGCCACCACACAATGAAACCTGCCAATGAAAAAGAGACGGACATTTGAAATGATTGCTCAGTTTTGGTCTTGAAGTCGGGTTTCACAATTGGCGGCCACCACAAACAACCTCATTAACCCTTTCATGCACCCTGTAACCTGATAACACGATAAGCTATATCCACCGTAGTGACAGCTGTACCTGAAAATGTTCATTCTGTCCGAACTACTTTGCCGAAGTACACCATAGGCTGCTGTGGAAACCATTTTGAAGTATCTTCAAAATATTGCATTAGCAGATAAAGCTGCCAGACATACCGATGGCGAGTGATTGCAGTCGGGTGCCACAAATACGTCACCAACTCGGGACTTCCCATTGCAAGGCTTTACAAGGATCAGTTGGCTGGAGTTCATTTTGTTCCAGCTTGTCGATGTATTTAACTGTCCTTCTCTTCCACTCTTACCGTGCTTCGGATGCTCTTTTGTTTAATTAAGATTACAATGTTTTCAAATCACCATCCTTAATTAATTCAACAAAGGAACGAGATAGTGTAAACAGCAGCGTAGGAAGGACATCAGGCATTTTGTGTGGGTTTTTTTGTTTTGTTTTGTTTTTTAAATTAGTACGTGGATGTTTGAGGAAATAGTAACAAGTTTTTCGGTGTGTTTAAGACACAGCAACAGAAGGCTGGACAACAGTAAATCTTTTTTTTTTTGGGGGGGGTTCTTTTAAGTCCCATTTTGTGTGGCAAGCGTCACCCTTTGAGGTACAGTACAGTACCACTCCAGTCAATACCCAAGTGGAATGCACAGATCAGCTATTTTGTTCCTCTACACAACTTTTAAAAGTGTCGAGCCATACCGTGCTTTTTGTTGACGAACGTGGCAGAATTTTCAAGCAATCAGACCAACCGAAGTTTATGTCATTGTTGATTTTAGAGAAAGGTTTGAAAAGTTTTGCAAACATGGAGATGCTATTTTCTCTAGTTCATATTTGGGGGGAAAAAAAAATTCAAAAACCAGTTTGAGAAGGCCAGAAGCAAAATGTGGCCTTTTCTCCAGAGCACGGCTGTCGGACTGACAATGTCGCAGGTCGGGGAAGAAATTAGCAGCTCCTCCATGTGCAGACAGGTAAATGAGGTGATCAGAGTGAGAGATAATATGGAAAGAGTCACATTCGTTTTTGTGCCTCGTGTGCTCGCTTGATCCACTCTGTGCCATTTGAGGCGCAACATTGTCCTCTGCTGGTTAGGCCTGGACATGGGAGGGGAAAATCTCGACGGAATCCAAGATTCATTCATCTTTCACCCTCACTTGAAGCCGAAAAATCCTGTCTTTTGGTTTATTCAAATACGTACCCAATATTTTATATGATGTGTTTTTTTTGTAAGGTGCCCCGTTGCATGCTTATGAATAAAATGCTTATTGTTGCCGTTCTGAATATAAAGACAGATATAAAAATAGAGAGAAGTGTTTCAAAACTTTTCAGGGAAAGTGAACAATTATGACAAAGATCAATTGCCATTTAGTCATAGATGATTTGTGAGGGGGGGAGACAATCCCCTCTACATGTTCTGAAATCCCGTTTCCATGACCTCCGTGTGCTTTGCATGTAAAGTGCGTGCAAATCTTTATTTTTGGTGTAGTTATGCTCATCGCAAAACCTGAATAATATTTATGAAGGATCAAATGAAAAACAAAGATTGAGTAAGAATGGTTGTTACAGGAGTAGATTGGATTACCTTTTTTTTTCAGTGCAGCCTTGCATACCCAACAACCTCTTAAAAAAACAGATCATAATCTGTATGTGCTCATTTTCCAAGCAGAAGTCTCCAACATCACGGCTGAACAAGAAACGCAACTGAAATCCTCACCGTGAACACATCTTGTTTCGCGGTCTCTCTTTTATCACCGCGCATATTTGCCTTTCTCATGATATTAAAACCAATCCATCACAGCTGACTACGGGAGGTTGGAGAGGCTCCTGCGGCTCCCTTTTAATATTATTTGGATATCAAACAGCAATTTGCCACTCATCAAGACCAGTTGGAGGCTGTTCTTGCTGCACCACAAAGGCAGGCCCAGCCCACTTTATCATCCCAAAAGGATAGGATCTGGTTTCTATGATTATTATTGTTATTATCCCAAGACGGATAATAGAATTCAGACGCTTGCTGCGGGTCTTATTTGCAGGTGAGGCTGATTACGGTCGATAAGCGAAAGGCCTGGGAGAGTTGGTCAGGTCGGATGATCATCTATAGCAATAAAACTGGGTACAGTACCGTGTGACACATATTTAACAACCGGCCACTGCTCCCCGGGTATTATTTCCAGTCAAGTGTGACTCTTTTGAAAATGAACAAAATGTAAAAGAGCTCAGCAGTGCTGTTTTTATAAAATGACATTTCAGACATTTGACCTCAATTTATTCAGATGAATTAGGGGGGGTGGGATTACTTGACCATGATGCGCTGTCCAGTTCGGGTCATGAAAAGTCACTTACCTTATATTAACATTATAATCAGACAGAATATTTTATTCCTATTTTATATGGGATCTCATTATATTGCGCAAGTGCAGCAAATGTACTTCAAAGCGAATAAAAGGTGAAACGAAACGAAGGAATTGTGCTGCTCTCCGACCAACACAATTCATGTAACAAGGACTTGTTTTGATGAATAAGTGACCCCAACTGATGAGTACCGTTCATCATATCGAACTAATTAGACCAAACATGTGCTTCTTGTCTCATTAAATGTATCATGATTACAGATGCTCATGTGGATAAATGTTTGCTGGCTCATCGCAATGCATCAGCAGTAAATCATCTCAATTAATTCCACGCCTACCAATGACATCCGATACAAGAGTCGTATCAAATATTTTGCGAGCTGATGATGTTCCGTATTGATTTTCAGAGAGGCATTCGAGTAACAACGTTTATAACTGTGGTCGTAGTTTTCCGTCTTGCTTCATAATGAGAGCTTTGTCAATTCTTTTGCTCACCTCAATTACCGCATTTTCCACACTACAAGGCACACCTAAAAGCATTCGATTTTCTCAAAAGCTGACAGTCCGCCTTGTAATCCGATGCGCCTTATATATGGATCAATATTCTAATTTCTTGGACGTAGTATTTTAAATGTTCTGTAAAGTGCTGTGTTACAGCTGCAGCACTTGTGAAGGCTCAAAATAAATAAAGATGTATTGTATTGTCGTCCCTTTCGTCACCATTTTGAACCACCACAGGACAGTTTTCCCACACAAGGAGAACAAGCGAACTCCACATAGGAAAGTTTAAAGTGCTATATAAGAGAAGAGAGTGACTATCGTCGGAACAATGGCGCAGTTTAAATTGGGTCCTGGTTAATTGATGAATTGGGTAATTGTATTTCTTTCATTTGGATGTGTGCATGTCAAGAGCAGTCAAGTCATCAAATCAATTGAAAAATAAAAAAAAATTTAATCGCATTACCTCATTGAGGGTCATCTTGTTGTTTTTCATCTTCTGCGGGCTGCTCTTCCATGTTCTCCCAAAGAAATACTGGTGATTTCTGTCAAAGAATGTCACTCGCAGCTGGTAGGTGGCATCTGGTTCAGCGTCTGGGGTCGCCTGTGAGGACGGAAGACCCCCGGTTTGTGTCGCGGGATAACAAAAACTCCACAAGCAAGTTCAATATTTGAAAAGGTGTAGATTCCATCGCACCAAAAAAATAAAATAAAATAGTAGAAAAGAAAAGTAATAAAAAAGAATAAGTAATAAGTATAAGTACTGATTTAACTCCCGTGCTGAAATATCAGTAATGTTGAACACTCTGGATTGTAATTAAGGTCAAAGGAAAAAGCATTTATTGTGTCAATTATACACAATGCCCATTTTGAAAACATGACTCTTCTATTAGATGGCTGGAGGTACAAAAGAAGCACCTGTTGCCATGTATTTTTATTTTATTTTTTATTATTATTGTTGTTGTTGTTGTTATTGGTGTTATTACATATGTTATGTGTTGTATTCATTATTTTACTTTAACTGTTTTGTAAAGCGCTTTGTTACAGCTGCAGCTGTAGTGAAAACGCTGTCTAAATCAGGATGTATTGTATTATCGTTATTGTTATTATTATTATTATTATTAATTAATAATAATAATAATAACGATAATACGATACAATACATCCCGATGTATTACCCTTTATTATTATATTATTATTAATAAGCCACTGCTTATTAATAATAATAATAACAATAAAGCTATGAATCAACTTAGTGTTCAGTTAAACAGGCCAAGATTACACTGTGAGTAAACTGAGACATTATTTCGGTACTCAAACTTTTTGTGACATTTTGGTGGAGTTTCATGATTTATTTTTTTCCCAATGTAAAATGTGCATTTTGGCTCAAAACAAGTTAGGAAACAGGTTTAAAAAATATTTATTTGTTAAAAACATGCATTTAAATTGGGGGTTCTTTTAGGTGAGTTGGAAAAAGATTAATGGAATTTCAATTCAATTGTGGTACAGTTATTTGATCACGAAACTGTTCACTATTGAAGTCTCCGTAAAGTCTTCTTAATTACAGTAAATGTTGCACTGTACTTCCTTATTTGTACATTTTATTAAATGGAATGAATGCTCACATTTGTTTTTACCGCATGCAAATGACATCAAGAGCCCCTTCCTATGGAGCGAGCTAGCAAGTGTTAGCTGCGAGTCTTGTCACCTTGGGGAGATGCGCCGCTGTGACCCGACAGAGGGTGAGTTGGACGCCGCGGGATGAAGTCAGGTGGCCGTCCACAGCCTGGCGCACCATCTGCCCGGACGGGGGAATCAAACGTCCCTTCTCAAACACGTCTCTCCAACTGTCCGCCATAGACGATAGGTCCTCTGTTTTTACCATACTTGTGGCATAAGCGACATCATGCCGTGAAATCTTTTTAGACGATCACATATAAGGCGTGTCCTCGTTTGCAGTACATCTACATAACTAACAGACGTGCCGTCAACATCTGAGACTTTGGGGGTGAAAGTCGGGAAAGACACGTTTATTTAAGAGAATCGTGGTTGGGATTCGACAAAGCAGATACAGGGGAGCCGCCATGTTAAAATGGGATCGTACCATCATGTGCACGGGGGTCAGTGATTAAATCAAACGTTGCACCACGAGTATTTCTAATTAAGACGACAACGTATATAAAGATTAAGAGAATAACGTATTATGTAAAAGGGTAGCGATCTATTTTATGGTGGAGTGTTACAAAGAACGGATTTTGGTGATGGATGTGTGTGTTTGTTGCACCTCGTGCTTGGTGTCGCCTATCGCGTAGCGTCGGTTGCTATGGTAATAATCACGTTGCCATGTTCGCTCCCACTCTGGTGGTCATGCTGGCAACTGACGATTTTAGTACTAGTATTGGCTTCAAATCTATCTTTCTGTTTGTTGATATTTGTTAGCTTATTATATTAATATAGTTTTTCTGTGAATTATCATAATTGGTTTTATTTATAGGTTGATGTGCGTGAAGGTAGAGATAGAAGGTGTGATGATGAATGTAGTCAGTGGGTATGCCCCACAGGTGGGCTGTGAGTTAGAAGAAAAGGAAAAGTTCTGGAATGAGATGGATAGAGTGACAGAGAGCATTCCCAGGGGGGAGAGAGTAGTGATTGGAGCAGACTTAAATGGTCATGTAGGGGAAGGTAACAGAGGCGATGAGGAAGTGATGGGCAAGTTTGGACTTAGAGATAGGAACTTGGAAGGACAGGCAGTGGTAGACTTTGCCAAAAGAATGGAAATGGCCGTGATAAACACCTATTTCCAAAAGAGAGAAGAACACCTGATAACTTACAAGACTGGAGGCAGGTCCACACAGATAGATTATATCCTATGTAGAAGAGGTAATCTGAGGGAGGTTAACGACTGTAAGGTGGTGCCAGGAGAGAGTGTAGCCAAACAGCATAGGATAGTAGTGTGCAAGCTGACAATGGAGGTGAGGAAAAGGAAGAGGGTGAAGACAGAGAAGAAAATAAAATGGTGGAAATTGAGGAAAGAAGACTGTTGTGAAGAATTTAGGAGTGAGGTAAGGGCAGTTCTGGGCAGCGTTGAGGAATTCCCAGATGATTGGGAGACTACTGCAGCAGTGATT